TCCTCCATCTGCGCTCGACCAGGGAAAAAGCACGGCCGCAGCCCCGCAGGGGTGACTGCAGAAACGGCCAGCTCGGAGTGACGATTGCACTGAAGGGACGGGCTGCTGAGCACAGGGAGGATGATATAGACTGGATCTAAGGAAGAAATTCTTTAGCGGGAGGGTGGTGAAACCCTGGCAGGGGTTGCCCAGAGAGGGGGTGGAGGCCCCATCCCTGGGAACATCCCAGGCCAGGTTGGACGGGGGCTGTGAGCACCTGGTCTGGTTGGGGACGTCCCTGCTCCTGCAGGGGGGTTGGGCTGGGTGACCTCTAGGGGTCCCTTCCCACCCAAACCATTCCATGATTCTATGAAAAATCCCCCCTCCCCAAGAGGGCTTACTTGATGGGGAAGGTCTCATCCTTCCTCCGCTGCTTCTCCCGGGGCGGGATGATCTCCCAGCCGAAAGTCAGGCTCCAGTCGAAGTTGCCCCGGCTGTGCTGTTTGCCGTTCTGGACAGGCTTGGAGAACTCAAAGGTGTTGAGATCGATGGTGGCGATGTCAGGGCTTACGACAGCCGTGGGCTCTTGGGCGATGCGGGATAAGAGGGGCTCCAGCCAGCCGTGAAAACACTCACCTGGCACGCGGGGAAGGTTTGGCCATTGAGTGGAGACAACTTCACCCCACCTAGCTCCCCGGAGCCCCCCGGGAGGTGGTGGGTACTCACAGTGGGCATCCAGGAAGGTCAGGACCTCCCCGCTGGCCACGCTGGCCCCCAGCAGCCGCGCTGTTATCAGCCCTTTCCTCTCCTCCTGCCGCACGACTCGCACGATCTGGAGCTGCTCCACGTAGCGATCCAGCTCATCCTTCAGGTAGTCTGGGGTGGGAAAGAGAGCAACTGGCTCCGTCGGAGAGGGGAGATGCCGGTCCTTGCGTGCCCACCCCGCTGCCCCCATCCCACCCCTGCCCCTCTCAGGAGCTGGTGCTCAGACCCTGCACCCTGGTTTGGATCTGGGGACACATGGAGCCTCCTTTCCCCAAAATCCCGAAGTTTTTTTGGCTGAAGAAAGTGGGGTTTTGCAGAGAAGCCGGCCAGCTGCCCCGTCTCATCGCCCACCAGAGGGATTAGAGGAACGATGGGGTGAGAAAGTGTCACCAGGACGGAGCGGATGAGCCGTCACCGAGGGAAGGGTTGCTCAGGGAAATTGGGATTTCTCTCCTTCTTTAGCAGACGCAGCCAAGCCAAAAGCTGGGAACAGCCAAACGAGAGCTGGGATGTCCCCAGACCCATCCTGGGAAGGGACCCTAAGTCTCACGAGCATCCGACCCGCGTTCCCGCCGCAGCGGAAGCCAAGCTGATGGGCAATAAATCTCTGCACCGCCCCGAGGCTTCTGCTCCGTGGGAGCCCGTGCAGGCGCGTGGGCAGAAAGGGAGCGTTTATCTCCAGGGCGAGGGCAAAGTCTGCTCCTCTCCAGCGCCCTGATGCCGAACCACATCGTTAATTTGCTCTGGGTGTAGCTAACGAGGATTGCGGCCTGGCGGGCGTGCCAGGCAGTGGATAAGGGGTTTGCAGGATGCGGGAGGAGCGCCTGGTTTTTCCTCCAGGGCTGGGTTAGGAGAAGGGAAAAACCCCAAGGGCACGCCCGGGCGGATGCAAAAAAAACGTGGAAGAACTTGCTGGATAAAACCTGGGCTGCTCGGGGACTTGGCATGAGCCGCTTCTCCGAGTGGCTCAGAACTGCTGCCCCCCCTGGGATGGGAAGACGCTCGGCATCCCACCTGCATCCCGCCATGGTTCCCCTGCATCCCGCCACGGCTCCCACCCACCATCCGTGCTGGCATCGTCCACCAAGATGATCT